TCATACTTCAGTTACAAATCAAAAGCTCTTGAAAAATATTTGGTGGCTTCATATTATGCTACTTTGTATAGATACATTGCATCTTTTCCCAAAAAATAACAATATGAAATTATAGATCACAATTATGTAAATATTTTATTTCTGATGGCAAATGTAAGTATCAATTTCAAATCAATCATAGTTTCTTTAGAACCTATGATTGAGGGAGTTTCTAGAAACATGCACATTCAGTTCTTGGTTAGGAGTCTTGGTTGCAAAGTTAAGTTGATGCAACTGATGTCATTTGCTTACTAAAAACTTATCTTCCAGGCCAGCTCTGCTGTGGCCAGGGAGTGCAGTGGAGGATGGCCCAAGTGCTTGGGCCCTGCACCCCATGGGAGACCAGGAGAAGTACCTGGCTTCTGCCATCGGATCAGCGCGGTGCGCCGGCCATGGCGCGCCGGCCGCAGTGGCCATTGGAGGGTGAACCAATGGCAAAAGGAAGACCTTTCTCTCTGTCTCTCTCTCTCTCACTGTCCACTCTGCCTGTCAAAAAAAAAAAAAAAAAAAAAAAAAAAAAACCTAGTCTTAGATTGCTACAGAGTAAAAAATCATGGAGAAGACAGATCAAAAGTTCAAGGGACTGGCTATCTACAAGTCTCCAGGGAAAGACAGAATCAATGAACTTTAGTCGGCACAATTAAGATATTGACTTCCTAAACAGATTCCATTGGCAATATAAAAAGGCTAGTTAGAAAAATTTACACCTTTTAGTGCTTAGGATAAGGACTATACAAACCTTGCCAATCAGACTGATATTATTAAATGGCTTTTCAGAGAGAGATTAGAACAAAAGGGGCAAGATAAAATAGCTTACTGGACTCCAGCCAGAAGCAGCTTGGACAAGTCAAATGAACTCCCTAGAGTGAATACAGTTTTCTCTTTCAGAAATAAGGCTCAAAGGGAGCAGATCAGGGATCAATAAAAAACACTGTTCCTCAAGAATATAGACAAGGGTTATAAACAAGAATCAAATCTCAAAATGTCAAATTCACTCATACACATAACATTTTTTGTACTCCATATAAATCGGTTACCACAAATAAGGGCAAACATATAATTTCGTCTTTTGGAGACTGGCTTATTTCACTAAGCATAATGGTCTCCAATCGCATCCACTTTGCTGGAAAAGATAGGGCCATTCTTTTTATGGCTGAGTAGTATTCCATACCGTGTGTGTGCGTGAGTGTGTGGGTGGGGTGTGGGTGTGTGCGTGTGTGTGTGTGAGTGTGCTTGTGTGTGTGGGTGTGGGTGGTGTGTATCACAATTTCTTTATCTGGTCCTCAGCTGATGGACATCTGGTTGACTCCATATCTTAGCTATTGTGAATTGAGCTGCCAAAGATATGGGGTACAGATAACTCTTTCAAATGCTGATTTCATTTCTTTTGGGAAACCTTGTGAATTTTTTAAATTAATTTATTTATTGAGATGCAGAGTTATATAGAGAGGAGAGACACAGAGAAATCTTCTACTGATTCACTACCCAATGGTCACAACAACCAGTGCTGGGCAAGGGTGAAGCCAGGAGCTTCTTCTAGGTCTCCCACATAGGTGCAGGGACCCGAGTACTTGGGCTATCCTCCACTGCTTTCCCACGTTCATTAGCAGGGAGCTGGATTGGAAGTGGAGCAGCTGGGACTCAAACCGGTGCCTATATGGGATGCTGGCACTGCAGGCGGCGGCTTAACCTGCTGCACCCTAAACAACATCCCCAACCTCGTAAAGTCTTAATCTCCTCCTGTGTAATCCTTAAAGAAGTTGTCCTGGGGCCAGCACTGTGGCTTAGCGAGTAAAGCTGCCGCCTGTAGTGCCAGCATCCCATATGGGCGTCAGTTCGAGTCCCTGCTGCTCCACTTCCAATCCAGCTCTCTGCTATGGCCTGCACCCAAGTAGGAGACCTGAAAGAAATTCCTGGCTCCTGGCTTTGGATTGGTGCAGCTGCAGATATTTTGTCTGCCTGGGGAGTGAACCAATGGATGGAGGACCTCTCTCTCTCTCTCTCTCTGCCTCTGCCTCTGCCTCTGCCTCTGCCTCTCTGTGACTCAGCCTTTCAAATAAATAAATGATTCTTTAAAATAAAAAGGAAGTTGTCCTATTTAGACTTCTGTGTATAATCACGTATCTTTCACCTCATTCCATTGATGATGTTGCTAAACTTCATTGGTGTATGGTGAGTCTACAGACACCACTGCCATTGTCCTAATCACCAGCGGTGCTCCCCACTTAAGGGATGGAAACTTTAAATATACAACTATGTGTGGGGTTTAAATTTAACTACATTAGGAAATGAGACAGACGGGTGCAGAGATTTAGAGAGAAGGAAAAATGGAAAACAATGGGGGAGAATTGTTCAGTGAGAATTGAGAAAAAAATGTCATTCTCAAAGATTTGGTGAATTAAAAGCTAATTTATCTTCATTCAAAAAAAAAAATCCCGTAACTTTCCTTTACTCCATGTAATTCATAAGCTATAACAGCAACTGGCTTTTAATTCTGCTTTAGAAATACAGACATCTTTTGTCACAGAGAATAGTGCTTTCATGACTGTGCTTTTACTATGTTAAATAAAGTAATGTATACATGAATATTTACTCTGGTTTGAATAAGAAAATGACCCATTTGTGCATTTATATCATGAAAATCTCAATTAGAAACCACACTTCTAATTTTCTTTCTGTTAATAATGGAAAATTTAAGAGTCACTGGCTGAAATTTAAATTAATACAATTTGATTATTTTGATTCATATTAACTTTCCTACAATTTAATGCTCAAATGAATCTCCAGTGTGATTTTTAAGTGTGATGTCTGAATGCATACATGGAGAGAGACAAGCAAAATTGTTTACATGCAAAGTGGTCAGTTATTTAATTGTAGCAATTAAATTACTAATAGTAAAACCTTTCTCTTTCTAAACGATTAAAAACATCACACGCTAAATGTTGCTAAAAATTAGTCAAGAATCACCCCTGACTTTTTCATAGTGGTGCCATTCTCTTACAAGTGTGTTTTCCTATGGAAATATGAATTTAAAAAAATTAAAGAAATACTGCATGTGCCTGTATATTTTATAAACCTACATAAAACATTTAAAAGATATTTATACAAGTATGAATCCAATTTAAGTATCCATGATGTAAAAAATCTATGAATACTAAGTATTATTAGATATAGGACAAAATTCTATAGGTAAGCAGTCAGATGACTACAGATAGGATTATGTACAAAAGAAAAAATTTTAAAACTTACTTTCAGTATTGAATCACTAAGATGTAAAAGGCCTTAAATAAACTTTACATTTAAAAAAAAGTTAACTGTCCTTCTGAAAACTTAATAGACCTAAATTAGAAGAAAATGAACCATTACAAGATAATTGGGAAAGCCGTAATATCTTATAATTTACTGTAGCCAATTTGATCTTGAGGGAGTGGAAACCTCTTTTCTCAGCAGAAATGTTTACTAAATTCACCAGGCTGAATCAATGAATTAAATAATCACATCATACTGAATGACCAACTTCCTAGCTATTTCCTGTGACTATCCAGCCAACTCACTTTTTCTTGCTTGCATCTGAAACCTGAACTGCTCAACAAAAGCATACTACCCCATATGTCAAGGAGCACATATTAAATTGTTGTGAATGAATCAGCTTGCTTTCTCCTATCCCTGAGGGCATATCTTCCCAGACTCACACCAGACTCGTAATAAGTGTAATGAACATAAGAGCTTCCCTATCACTCAATACATAAACAACATCAAGGTAAATTTTCAGGGATGAATATAACCATTACACCCCTGATAATCTGCAAACATTATTAAACTAGCAGGAAATTAAAACTGTTATAGTTATTTTACCTTCTGCAACCTTAGTGATCTAGAAATATTTCCAAATGTGAATGCTGTTAGTGTTAGGTAAAGGGGGTTTCTTTGGAAATTTAGTTTGGGAAAACTGTATTGAATCTTTCACGTCTGCTCTTTCAAAGATGATCACTACTCAGGATGTGAACAGAACTCACAACATAGCAAATTTGCAGCAGAATCCCTTTTCTTCCTTGAACCATCAATGTACTGGTGTTCCCTTAGAATATTCTTGTTTTATAAATATTTTTTAAAATTGTATTTAAGTTATACAAGGTTCATGCATTTCATATATACAGATTTAGGAACATAGTGACACATCCCCCCACCCCACCCCGCCATGCTCCAACCCTTCCTCCTCCCTCTCACATTCCCACTCTTAATTTTTACAAAGATTTACTTTCAGTTTACTTGGTGATTATATAGCTAACCCTACACTAAGTAAAAGAGTTCAACAAATAGTATGAAGAGGAAAACAAAAACAAAACAACACGGTTCCTCAACGGAAGCAACAAGGCTGCAAACAATCACCAAGACTCTTTCATTCATCCTTTCTTCAAAACTTCATTCAGTAGCAAAATACACAGTGGCTCACCAGTAACTTCGTGAGAACTTTTTTTTTTTTTTTTGAGCAGGGTTATAAATACCTACTGCCAAAATTTTCATGTATATACCATTAAGGAAGGGACTTGAAAGAAAAGGTCATTCAGGAACCAATTTTGCAGTTCAAATAAAGGATATTCTTTCTCTATTGGCAAGGAAACTCAGCACTTGATTAGAAAATCATGCAACTCCTTAGTAACTATCAAATAACCATTCTATTTTGCTCTTTTACTCATGAAATTAAAAGAAAACAATGCGTATTGCCCCAGCTCTTGAAATCTGAATTCTAACAGCTTGTTTGATTTGTAGCGGATGAGTATCCCAGAGTTCCCTCCTCGCTCATCCCATGATTGCTTGGAACTTTGCATGTCACTTGTCAGCAAGGAGAGACAAGTAAACAGCCGGGTAAACCATGGCTTGTCCATCAGCAAGAGCACAGCCCAGCACAGCCCAGCACAGCCCAGCTCAGCCACGTGCCTGTGTTTGCAGAGAGGCAATACCTGGACATCGATACAAGCTTTCTTGCCTGTGCAATATCTCCTTTACTTAAAACGCGTGCGTTGACCGATGGCGGGACGTATGCCATTATCATCGCGGAGGGGAGAATCGTATCCAGAAACATCCCCCTGAAAGAGAAAAGAAACAAACCACCCCTACGTCACCAATCCAAAGCACATATCTTGCTTACCAATATACGGTTGCTTTTTAAACTCAAGTCAATCAAATGGAAAATACAACGGAGTGAGCTCTAGGCAGTGTGTCAAACTTTCAAAACACCAGCATCATGTGTGTGTAGCATAAAATCAATGATGACATCCACGTGTTCCTTAGAAAACTGTATTATGTGTTTTTAAAATACAGGAATATTTTATAGTCTCCCACCAAGTACACCATGGCTCTGTTTTGTCTCCCAAACAGATCTAAGAATCCCTTAGATTGTCAGATTGTAAAACAATTCTTCCTCATGATATATATATATACATATATACAATAAGACTTCTGCAATTACTAAAATTCAAAGAGTCAACAAAATACACCTTAATATTCTTCGAATTAAATTCTAATTTAACTATCTAAGCATTTAAGATTTCTTACAAGTCTAAATGCTATAACGTATGTTAAAAAGGAAAAAACAATGTCAAAATGTAGACAGAACAGTGCAAAACAAAAGTATTATGTATCATTTTCAATGTTTCATGGGCAACATTGCTTAGCAAAAAATCCTAATCAGAACGTGCCCCATTGATTCTAAGCTATAGATATTGAGTTGCTTTTGCCTCAAAGTTTAGTAGAAAATTACTACTTTTCCTACTATGTATGAGTAAAATTCTTAATATAGTACACTAAAGATACATTCTAATTTTGCAATACGTATCAACCATTTATAACTCTAAGGAAGTGCTTAGGTTAAAAATACAATGAACTGTGAAACTATTACAACAGGTTGAGAAGGAGGGAGTTTGCCTGTGTGGATTTTAAAAAACAAAAATTGTTTTTCAGAAATAAAGAAGGAAATTTTCCACAAAGATATTTTAAATTAAGAAATACCTTGGCCGGCGCCGCGGCTCACTAGGCTAATCCTCCGCTAGCGGCGCCCGGCACACACGGGTTCTAGTCCCGGTCGGGGCTGCTCCGGATTCTGGCCTGGTTGCCCCTCTTCCAGCCAGACCCGTCTGCTGTGGCCAGGGAGTGCAGTGGAGTGATGGCCCAGGTGCTTGGGCCCTGCACCCCCATGGGAGAACCAGGAAAAGCACCTGGCTCTGGCTCCTGCCATCGGATCAGCGCGGTGCACCGGCCGCAGCGCGCCGGCCGCGGCGGCCATTGGAGGGTGAACCAACGGCAAAAAGGAAGACCTTTCCCTCTGTCTCTCTCTCTCTCACTGTCCACTCTGCCTGTCAAAAAAAAAAAAAAAAAAAAAAAAGAAAAAGAAAAAAAAAAAAAAGAAATAACCTTAGCACCAATGCCTGCAATGGGCACCCATATGGGCACTGGTATGTGTCCCAGTGTTACTGTTCCAATCCAGTTCTCTGCTAATGGCCTGAGAAAGCAGTGGAGGATGGCCCAAGTCTTTGGGTCCCTGCACCCACATGAGAGATCGGAAGAAACTCCTGGCTCCTGGCTTTGGATTGGCCCAGCTCTGGCCATTGTGGCCACTTGGGGAGTGAACCAGCAGATGGAAGACTTTTCTCTCTGTCTTTTCTCTCTCCCTCTCTCTGTCTATAACTCCACCTCTCAAGTAAATAAATATAATCTTAAAAAAAACAGAAATGACCTTGTAAGATGTCTTTTTTAAAAAAAATTCTCATTTATTTTTCTGAGAGGCAAAGAGACAAAGAGAAAGACAAAGAAAGTTCTCATCCTCAGGTTCAATCCTCAAATGCCTGAAACTTGGGGGCTGGAACTGGGAGCTAGAAAACCAACTTAAGTCTCCCATGTGAGTTACAGCAATCAAATCAATTTGGCTACCACTGCTGCCTCTCAAAGTGCAAATAATTTGGAAGCTGGAATCAGACTCTGACCTCGAAAGTGAACCCTGATTCTTTGATGTGGGACGTAGCATCATAACGGGTATCTTAACATCCAGAAGAAATGCCCATCGCGTAAGATATCTTTTAAAATGGAGATGAGTGATGGGACATGCCTTTTCAATATTTACAATATCACACATTTATACTGCAGGTTAAAGAATAACACTTTAAGCTCTGCTTAGTCCTCCCCTTTAGGAAACATTCGTTCAGCACTGTTCTAGGTTTGGATTTATAGCAGTGAACAGACTAACAAAAATACTACTCTTTCTGATTTTAATATCCTAATGTGGGGAGAAAGACATTAAAATGAAAGACCAATAACTTGGGTAGTGATCAGATCAGCACTGTGGAAAAAATAAAGGACAGAAGGTGGGTATCGGCTGCACAGCAAGTCTTATGGCTACCTACCAGTAGAGAGTCCCCAGAAAGAACCATTTAGAGATGCAAGGACTTCTGAAATCTTTGAGCACCAGCTAGATAATGTGTTTACCTGGAGGACAACAACTACTAATTTATAGGAAGATGGCAAACAGAATGACATGGTTAACTTATGACTTATAGCTTTTAGGTAAGCAAAGGAGTGGTGATATACAACCTGGCCATCTCAAATCCCAAGGCGGCAACTCTTTAAAGCCAGATCTAAGCACTTATAGAACTCCATCTATATACTGCCCGAGACAAGGGCAGACAAGTAGAGACTAATGATTTATGGAACTGACCATCAAAAGCAAGAGCTCACACTAAGATGCAACTTCGGGAGGCCCCATGTAATTGAAAGGGAAGCTGAGTTATAAGGTAGCATTGAGAAAAGCCATCTCTCAATGGCACCGCATGAATCAACAGAAACATTAAGTAGGAAAACGGAAATTGATGGAGTGTTACAATTTCTGCAGTCCTCCAGTACTAAGCAAAGTATTGACTATTTTCTATTTTCAAAAATAAATGGGCACTCTTTGACGAGTTTCACTTTTTAAGCTTTCAGGAGTTCAATATTTAAAAAAAGTTAATGACATTTTGGAGTGGATATATGCTACCTTGGCCAGTAGAATAATGAATTTTGACTTATTCTATATACCGAGGTATCCTTTCTTACATTCTAAAGGGGACCAATCACCCATTCTTGTACTTTCTTTATGGTCAGGAAGTTAACAATTCTGTTTGTCCAAGACATGGCCATTGAGCAAGGGAGGTGTTATCAATAGGCCAGAGGCAAATCATACTGAGGTTCCTTTCTAATAGCCATTCTTCATTTATTTTAATTGTGTAAAAATGGCAAATGAGCTATTCTTTTAAGAAACTTTGTAAAATTTTACAACTTTTCTTTGTTTTAATGAAAAAGTTATCAGTTTGCATGAATTTACCTTACAGAATATCTATGCATTTGAAGGCCTCATAGGCCAAGACTTCTCACCATGATTTCCTAAACCTATTCCATGGGTTACACTCACAGAAACAACTGGAACATTGTAGACTCCATGAGTTCAGAACAGAAGAACTATAAAACCTCTCACTAGTGTAGAGAAAGCATTTGACAAGATTCAAGACGCTTCCCTGATTCATACTCAACAAACCAGAAAGTGAAAGAAACTACCTCAAAATAATGAAGGTCACAAATGAAAAGCCCACAACTGAGGCCGGCGCTGTGGCTTAGCAGGTAATGCCTGCCGTGCCAGCATCCCATGTGGGCGCCAGTTCGAAGTCCTGGCTGCTCCACTTCTGATCCAGCTCTCTGCTGTGGCCTGGGAAAGTAGTAGAAGATGGCCCAAGTCCTTGGGCCCCTACACCCATGTGGGAGACCGGGAAGAAGTTCCTGGCTCCTGGCTTCAGACTGGCGCAGCTCTGGCCATTACAGCCAGCTGGGGAGTGAACCAGTGAATGGAAGACCTCTACCTCTCCTTCTCTCTCTGTGTAACTCTGACTTTCAAATAAATAAATAAATCTTATTAAAAAAAAGAAAAGTCCACGGTTATCATCATATTCAGTGGTGAAAAACAAAGCTTTTCCTCTAAGAGCAGTAACAAAGGATGCCTGTTCTCAGCCCTTCTGTTTAACCTGGTACTGGATGTTGTGACCACAGTAATTAGGAAAGAAGGTAGAAGACGGGAGGAGGAGGGGGAACAAGAAGGTGAGAGAGAGGGGAAGGAAGTAGAGAAGAAGGAAGTAGAGAAAAAGGAAGAAGAGGAGGACTAAAGAGGAGGAGGAGGAAGAGAAGAAGAAGAAGAGGAAGACTAAGGAGAAGGAGGAGGAGGAGAAGAAGAGGAAGAAGAAGAATTAAAATTAAGGAAGTAGGAGCATTACCTCTATCTGCAGATGATATGGTCTTACACAGAACACCCTAAATGCTCCACAAAAAACTGTTAGAACTAATATGTGAATTTAGCAAAATCAAAACACAAAACCAGTTATCTTTCTACACGCCAACAGTGAGTTACCCATAAGGAAATCAAGACAAAAAATTGTACAAATACTTAGAAGTAAACCCAACCAAAGAAACGAAAGACTTGGACAGTGAAAACTAAAACAACATTGCTGAAAGAAATTAAAGTGATAAGTAAGTGGAAAGGTCCTGTGATCCTGGATTTAAAATTAAATAGTAAGCTCTTAATATTACTCAAATAAATCTATAGATTCAATACAATCCCTATTAAAATTCCAACGTTGTCTTTTTGTATTATTTTATTTGAGGTAGAGCTTCAGACAGAGAGGAGAGACAGAGAGATCTTCCATCTGTTGGTTTACACCCCACATGGCTGCAATGGCAAGAGCTGGGCCTATCTGAAACCAGGAGCCAGGAGCTTCTTCTGGGTCTTCCATGTGGCTGAGCACTTGGGCCATCTTCCACTGCTCTCCCAAGCCATTAGCAGAGAGCTGGATCGGAAGAGGTGTGGTTGGGACACAAACCAGTGCCTATATGGGATGCCAGAGCCCCAGCAAAAATATATTACAAAGCTACAGTAATCAACATATTATGGCACTGGCATAAAGATAAACCTCTAGACCAATGAAATAAAGTAGAGAACCCCCCCCCAAAAAAAAACTAATGTATATAATCAAATTCTCTTCAAGAAGGATTCCAAAAGGCAGCCTTTTCTACAAATGATGACAAAAAACTGAACATCCACAGCCAAAAAAAAGAAGAAGAAATGAATTTGCACCATTATACTATGTAAAAGTATTAACTCAAAGTCAACTACAGATCTAAACATAAGACCCTGAACTATAAATTCCCAGAAGGAAAAATAAGGGGAAAGCTTCATGGCTGTCATGATTTATTGGATATGACATCAAAAGGCAACAGTATATTTAAAAAGAGAGCCACACACGATGAAATCAAACTTAACAGATTTTGGTCATATAGGACAAAATCGCCAGAGTGAAAACGTAACCTGCGGAATGGCAGAAAATATTTGCAAATCATATATCAGATTAAGTGGTTAAGAGCCAGAATACACAAAGAACTCTCACAGCTCAACAACAAATCAAGTAGCCTGAGTAACAACTGGGCAAAGGACTTGAGTAATCATTTCTCCAAAAATGACACACAAGTGACCGCCATGCATCTGAAAACATGTTCAGCTAATCAATACAAGATGCGCATCAATGATCACAAAAATGTCAATCTAAACCAAAATGTGGGGCAGTCATTATGGCATGGGAAGTTAAGTCGCCACTTGGAATGCCTGGTTCAAGTCCCAGCTACTCTGCTTCCAATCCAGCCCCCTGCTAGTGCACCTGGAAAGCAGAAGATGATGGCCCAAGTACTTGGGTTCCCGCCACCTACATGGGAAATCCAGATGGCTTTCTTAGGCCCTTGCATCTGCCTGGCCAACCTCTTGCTGTTTCAGTCACTTGAGGACTGAACTTACAGATAGAAGATCTCTCTCTTCTCTGTCTCTCACTCTCTCCGGTCATTCTGACTTTCAAATGAATAAATAAATCTTGTGATGGAAATTATCAAAACAAAGGAAAACAAGTGTTGGTGAGGACATAGAGAAAGCTAGAACTTATAAACCTGTTAGCAGGATGTTAAATGGTGCAACCACCATGAGAAAAGTGTGCAAGTTCCTGAAGAATTAAAAGTAGAAATGCCACTGGGGTCAGCAATGTGCACAGTGGGTTAAGCCACTGCCTGCGATGCCAATATCCCACATGGGTGTCAGTTCGGATCCTGGTGGCCTCACTTCAAATTCAGCTGCCTATTGATGCGCTTGGGAGAGCAGCAAAAGACAGCCTAAGTCCTCCGGCCCCTGAACCCATGTGGGAGACCTGGATGGAGTTCTAGGCTCCTGGTTTTGGCCTGGACCAGCTCTGGCCTCTGCAGCCACCTAGGAAATGAACCAGTGGTTGCAAGATAGAGCACTTGCTCTCTCTCTCTCTCTCTCTCTCTCTCTCTGCCTTTCAAATAAGAACTACTACATGAACCAGCATCTCATGTCAGCTTAGATAGTGCTGAAGAATAGAGAGAAGGATCTCTGAGGAATAGTTACACACACATGTCTCACAGCAGCACTATTCACAGTTGTCAACGAGTGGTAACAACTCAAATGTCTGTTGATGGACAAAGGCATACATAAAATGTGATTATACAATCAAGTATTAGTCATCATTATTATAGAGGAAAATCGTTGTCGTATGCTACAGTATGGATGAACTTAGAGGAAATAATGCTAAGGGAAATAAGCAAGTCACAAAAGGACACACTCTGTATGGTTCCAATTATACAAGGTATCTAAGGTAATGAAGTCCACAGAAGCAAAAAGCAGACTGGTGATTGCCAGGTGCTGGAGAGAGAGAATGGGAAGTTGCTGTTTAATGAGTACCAGGGTTTCAAGTTTGCAGACGAAAGTGTTCTAGAAATGTTTCACAACTGTGAATATACTTAACACTTTAAACTCTATACTTAAAAATGGCGAAGGAGGAGCTGGTGTTTGTCTAGTGGTTAAGGTGCCTACCTCCCACATCAGAGTGACTGATTTGATTTCCAGGTCTGGTTTCTGACTTAGGCTTTTTGCTAAAGCAGATCCTAGTAGGCAGTGGTGATGGCTCCAGGAACGGAGTTTCTGCCACCCCTGCAGACCTGGATTGACAAGTTTCCAGTTTCACTCCCAGCCCAATTCCAGCACTGGGGCAGTGACCAGTGGAAGGACTTTTTTTCCCTCTTTTTCTTTCTGCTGTACAAATAAATAAATATTTTTAAAGGTTTAAAATCATAAGGTTTTATTATGTGGAGGAAGGCTGAGAATTGTGACAAATGCTTCATTACCTGAAATCAATTACATATGTCAATAAGCAGCCTCTCTTTTTGGAAGATTTATTTATTGAATTGAGAGGCAGAGTTACATAGAGAGAAAGGTAGTGACAGAGAGAGAGGAACCTTCCGTCCACTGGGTCATGCCTCAAATGGCTGCAATGGCCGGAGCTAGGCTGATCTGAAGCCAGGAGCCAGGAGCTTCTTCTGAGTCTCCCATGTGGGTGTAGGGGCCCAAGCATGTGGGCCATCTTCCACTGCTTTCCCAGGCCATTAGCAAAAAGCTGGATCAGAAATGGAGCAACCGGGACCCAACTGGTACCCATGCGGGATGTCAGCACTGCAGGTGGAGGCTTAGCCTACAACGTCACAGCGCTGGTCCCCAAACACCCACTTTAAAGACTCAAGTTTATAAAATAATATGAGTGAGGATCAATCAGATATTATCTTTCCTACTATAAGGTCTTTTGAACTATAGAAATCTGTTTATTTATGAAAAAATGAGTAGCATAACTTTGAATCAATATGATCAAATGAAAAGTCAAGACTGGGGGCCGGTGCTGCGGCACAGTGGGTCAACACCCTGCCCCGAAGTGCCAGCATCCCATATGGGTGCCAATTCAAGTCCCGGCTGCTCCACTTGCGATCCAGCTCTCTGCTATGGCCTGGGAAGGCAGTGGAGGATGACCCAAGTCCTTGGGCCCCTGCACCCACATGAGGACCTGGAAGAAGCTCCTGGCTCCAGGCTTTGGATCGGTGCAGTTCCAGCCATTGCAGCCAATTGGGGAGTGAACCAGCATATGGAAGACCAATCTCAATGTCTCTCTCTCTCTCTCTCTCTCTCTCTCTCTCTCTCTTCTCTCTCTGCCTCTCCTCTGTGTAACTCTGACTTGCAAATAAATAAATAAATCTTACAAAAAAAGTCAAAGCTGGTTGGCACACAACACAAAGGCAGATGATGGAGGAGACAGCAGCAGGCAGCATGAGAAGAGTGGTATATGGAGAAAACAGCCAGGCGGAAAGGCAAAGCAGGACATACCAAAGGGACAAGTTCCAAGTTCAGGAAAGACTCAGCATTTCTGAAGAACAGGAAGCGTTCATTATTTTCTGCACTCTTTGCTACTTCCTGTCTTCCAAATAATCAAACCTCAGGTTAATTCTAAGTAACTGAATTCAGCAGCATAAGAGAGCAGCCTTGTCTAAACTTGGACCAAATGTTCATTTCTTTCACATCTCTATGGAAAACTCCCTTCCAAACATTGGTCTGAAACTAAAAATTTTATTATTCTTTAAGAATAATTGCAGGCTAAATTTCTGACTGTCATTTTTACCAAATCCTAAATTCAAATTCCAGGAACAATAAGCATGGGGATAGTTATTATATTTTAACAAAGATATATATACATGCATATATTATATATGCATGCACATGCATATATACATATACATATATGTATACATACATACATATATTTACGTGTATATATATATGTGAAACATATACTTCAGAGGAGAATGGTTTTCAAAATAAAAGGGTTTCATAAAGTTCACGGAAAATGCATATTGTGAAAAAACTATATATGAATTTTAAAATGTCCTTACAACAAAACAAACTTATCTTTTAATTCCAGTTTCCATGAAGTTTTCAACATACACTGCACAGTCAACCCTCGCTTTTTTTTTTTTTTTCAAAGTTTGGGTTTTTATAAAAGAATGATTCTAAAATGCGTCCAAGTACAAAGGGCTCATTAACACATCCTTCTCTCCTTTTTGCCAAAAATCTTTTATTGAACACATTTGACGTTTTCTTTCCTTCCTGAGCCTGCCTTCATAAACAGTTGTTAATGAACTGTGAGATGGATGTAACTGGGCAAAAGAGTGAATAGAAATGGATGTAGGAGGGTAAAATGAGCCTGAGTGTGCCAAGGGAATGGGTGAGTTCAGTGGTTTTACAGCTCCGAATTCCTTACCTGGCAACTATTTCCTGGATGCCATCATCTTTAGAATGAAGTGGATCAAAACCCAAGTTTATTTCACTCTTTAAAAAGAGTATTCAGTTAATGATAGAATCTTAAGGTTAATAATTAATGAACGATAATTGAACACTATATGAAGAAAAATATCTTCTTAACTTGTTGTCTTAGAATTCATTGAGTAATAGTCTTTCTTGAGCATTGGTGGTACTCGAGCCACTGAAAATGCACAGTATCCAACCGGAGTTGCATGCAGAGTGTGACATTCCAACGCAGCAACCAAGTAAACCATTTGACTTTTCACTACACTACACTTTGGCAGTTTAATACACGGACTGGTTTGGTCATGATTTTAATTGACATTTTTAAAATAATTAAAATATACTTTAAATCCTTGATAATATCCTATCACTTCAAATGTATATATTTGATAGGAAAGGCAAAAATGTGTTTTAATATGTCATTAAAATGTCTGTTGTTGGCTATATTCTTAACCATGATTTTTTATTTAATTTGCTTGGTTTATTTCTGCCATAGAGCAGCAACATTTGAAAGGTATTCTCATTCTAATGTGAAACATAGCTTTGAGAGGAGCTACATGGAGGGAAGGAATTAAAAGTCAAAAGGTATAACCTGAGAGTCCAACCTTGAGAAGGTGTTCCTGGCATAGTGCATGATGCTGTCAAAGTCGTATCTTTCCCCAAGTGAGTTCACTTCGCCGGGTTCCATCTTCAGAAAATTGTACTCTTGACCTAAGGATCAGGGACAAACAGAATCTCAGAAGCCTGGAAGAGGGGAGAGCACCACAGCCCTCCCTCGACTCGCATCTGCTCTTCATTAAATGACCCGTCTCCTTGCTGGCTCCACTTACACTCTCAGCCGGGCGCATGTGCCAAGGGCAGAGGTTTTCACTCGAGCTCCTACTGAAAGAATGGGTTAATGACTATCTCGGCAAAAACACTGACAAAACCAAACTTTGTATGTTTTTGATGTATGCTCTTTTACTACCTCACAATATTCATTTCTTTAAAATCTTGCTGCTTTTTGAGATACTGTACAAATCATAATAAAAGTTGGATTTTTATCCAATGAATTTGTCACTTTTCTCTTATGACTGTACTTGCCAGGGCCCATAAAAATTATCTTCTTCTTGCTTTGGAATTTTAGATCCTTTCTATGAAACACTGTGAAAAGGTGTAGGAACAATATTAGTATATATTAGACTAACTGCTTGGTTTAGCAATGTGACTTCAACATTAAAGATAAAACAACCGGAAATCTACTTTCATTCAAAAATGAAACAAGGCTCTCTTTTATGAAAAGACATTTCTATTTGGAAAGACTTTTTTGATCCAGAAGAATATGACAGGGGACTGTCGCTGTGGTGTAGCAGGTAAAGCCACTGCCTGAAGTGCTGGCATTCTATATGGGTGCTGGTTCGAGTCCTGGCTGCTCTTCTCCCAATCCAGCTCTCTCTGTGGTGGCCTGGGAAAGCAGTAGAAGATGGCCCAAGTGCCTGGGCCCCTGTACTCGTGTGGGAGACCTGGAAGAAGCTCCTGGCTCCTGGCTTCAGATCGGCACAGCTCTGGCCATTGCAGCCAGTTTGGGAGTGAACTAGTGGATGGAAGACTTCTCTTGGGGGCTGGTGTGTGGCTCACTAGGCTAATCCTCCCGTCTGCGGCATAAGCATCCCATTTGGGTGCGGGATTCTGTCCCGGTTGCTCCTCTTCCAGTCCAGCTCTCTGCTGTGGCCCGGGAAGGCAGTGGAGGATGGCCCAAGTGCTTGGGCCCTGCACCCCATGGGAGACCAGGAAGAAGCACCTGGCTCCTGGCTTCGGATCAATGCAGTGCTGGCCGTAGCGGTCATTTGGGGGGGGGGGGGGTTAACCAATGGAAGGAAGACCTTTCTCTCTGTCTCTCTCTCTCACTATCTATAACTCTGTCAAAAAAAAAAAAAAAAAAGACTTCTCTCTCTGCTTCTCCGTCTCTCTCTGTGTAACTCTCACTTTCAAGTAATAAGTAAATCTTTATATATAAAAAAAGAATACGAATAAGAACTAAGGGAGTTTTTGTTTTACTTTTCACATGTTATTTAACTTCATTTTTAACAGATTTTTTTCAACTGCCTGTTTGTATCTGCCAAGCAGTATTATTTCTTGAAAACTGAAAAAAAAAGAGAGATAAATATATGAATCTACATTGATGGTTCTGGAACAAAGGATTGCTTCTTGTTGACTTCAGATTTCAATGACTCAATTTCTGCAGTTTCAACAGCCAAAGGAGCTGATGCTGTGGCATAGTGGGTAAAGCTGCCGCCTGCTATACTGGCATTTCAAATGGGCTCCAGTTTGAGTCTCGGCTACTCCACTTGTGATCCAGCTCTCTGCTATGGCCTGGGAAAGCAGTAAAGGATGGCTCAGGTCCTTGGGCCCCTGCACCCACATGGGAGACCTGGAAGAAGCTCCTGCTCCCTGGCTTCAGATCAGCCCAGCTCTGTCTGCTGTGGCCATTTGGGAAGTGAACCAGTGGACTGAAGACCCCCCCCCTCTCTCTGTAACTCTGCCTTTCAAATAAATAAATAAATATTTTTTTAAAAATCAATATGACTTTAGAGCTAGAAATATGTATTTAAAAAAATAAAAAATAAACTGCAAAAGATGGTACATGACATACTATTTGTGTAACCTAAAGAGCTTTGAGAAAGTATAAAAGTGAACTACTGGAATTCCAAATTCATGCCTGGATCTCAAAAGGGGACTATTACATCGCTCATTTAATTGAGCATTCTAACTTCAATATTTGCATTGAATAATATCACATTAATAGTTTTCCAAAAGGTACTAAAGAAATGGAGTGATGTCCTAGAATAGAAGGTCTCTCCTCCCTGTGATAAGGAAGCCTGGGAACATGCATTTGAACACTAAAGGTTAGAGACTCAAGCTGTAGTTACAGAGCCCGCCATCAGTGTAATGTATTTTAAACCACATCTGAATAATTTCACATGGTAAATGATTCTGACTTCACCAGCCAGCCTGTAAACTGAAATGTGTGCTCCTCAAACCTCTGATATGTCTTCGTGTGTTAAAACCATTCTTAGGGAATACGCTGCTCTCGCCCCAACCCTGAGAGGAACAATTGTTACAACTGTGATCTCCATAGAATTTGAACCTTTTTTTTTAACATATCCAATTATAAGGTGGAAATTTTAAAGCGCTGTGGATCTGATTTTATAATTATAAACTTTCAAGATTTCAGTATAGAGCACAATATGGAAAAAGGCTCTCTGATCAACAAGAAATGCTTCACAAAATTTTTTGAAAGTAGAACATTCAGTAACTATAGCAATAGTTGCACATTCCAAGCCCATAACTGAGCACTTAACACGTACATGAGGCTTTTCTTTCTGCTAGTTAAAAAAGGACATGGGCCTACACAGTCCAAATAAGAGAAACTGAGACCTACGTCATGAAGGAAAGGAGAAAGTCAGAGATACAGAGCAACATGGAAAACTATACTTAATAATTCAAAAATTTTAAAGACATCCCTCTTTATATGCACATTCTGATGCAAATTAAAATAAATCTAATTATCATACCAATTTAGTACTCTCATAGTCATCTCTTGTGCATATAAATTTGAAGCCAAAGTTTTTGCTTATTGGATACTCTACTTGAATAACATTTGATTTTAAGTTTCTGAGTCACAGCAAGTCATAAATTTGTTGAAGATCAGTCTCCAACATGAACGCTTTCATACTGGAATTGCTGATCGTGGTTCCAATTACAGGAAATCTCACACAGTAATTTTTTTTTTCTGTTAGCCAGAATGTTTAGTCAAAAACCTAGTAAGAGTCATAATTTTTCTAGCATTGTGTTAAGTATTATAAATTTATTTATACTACTTATACTAGGGTACTTCAAAAAGTTCATAAAAGTAGAATTGAAATATGTGTTTATTTTGGTGCCAAAAAACTAAAATCCATGTATATGGGGGATCTTCAAAATAACTTCATGAAGAATGCATGTTATACAAGAACTATGCATAGATTGTAACATTTTGGGCACCAGAAGAAACCTATCTTTTTTTTTTCTTAAGATTTATTTATTTATTTGAAAGGCAGAGTTACAGAGATAGATAAAGAGAGAGAGAAGCAAAGAAAGGTCTTTTATTTACTGGTTCACTCTATAAATGGCTGCAACAGTCAGAGCTAGACCAGGAGCCAGGAGCTTTTTCTGGGTATCTGGGTATCCCACAGGGGTGCCGGGGCTCAAGGACCTGGGCTGTCTTCCACTGTTTTTCCAGGCACATTAGCAGGGAGCTGGATTGGAAGTGGAGCAGCCGGGACTCAATCCAGCACCCATATGGGATGCTGGCACTGCTGGCACCTTTACCACTACACCACAACACAGGCCCCAATAAACATCCTTCAATGGACACTCTGAAGTACCATGTACATCTCTTCCTCTATTTGGATACATATTTATATCAAATCAAAATTCTATTAAGTGTAAGAACCATTTTTGGAAGTTGCATTCATTATGAGCTTTTTTTTTTTTTTTTGTCAATATAACAAAATGTTTGACAAATACAGGAAAACTAACACCTGCTTAACAACAAACTTCTCATTGACTTGGTAGCTGAGACAATTTTCAAAAATACTGTTTCCTCTTTACGTCCTTCTTAATGATGAAAAATATAAGATGAACCTGGCTGTTTGGCTCAGGCGTCGGATTCTCAGCTAAGGAGTCCCATTCTTTTTCTTACTTACCTTCCATACCCAATTCTGCAGGTTACTTCACCGTTCTGAAAGGATTCGCCCTTTTGCAACGGCTATCATATTCCACTGAGTTTTCTCTCACTTTCTTTCTACTCATCAATTCTTGTTTTAACGTGACACTAATAGAGAATGGGCTCATGTAGTTCACAGACACAATTCTGATAATACAGTAACACTTCTATCTCTGTCTCTCTTATTTTTGAGATAACATTCTTACCCTTTTGGTAAATAGTCCACCAAATTCTGCTTAAATACCATTGTTCTCTATTTTGTATCCTCAATTTCTTTTAAAAGATGAATTTGTTTTGCTTGAAAGTCAGTTACAGAGAGGCAGAGGCAGAGAGAGAGAGAGAGAGAGAGAGAGAGAGAGAGAGAGAAAGGTCTTCCAGCTGCTGGTTTACTCCCCAAATGGCCGCAAAGGCCAGAACTGGGCTGATCGGAAGCCAGGAGCCAGGAGCTTCTTCAGGGTTTCCCACATGGGTGCAGGGGCCCAAGCTCTTAGGCCATCTTCTACTGCTTTCCCAGGCCATAGCAGAGAGCTGGATCAGAAGTGGAGCAGCCAGGATTCAAACCAGTGCCCATATCGGATGCCAGCACTGCAGGCAGCAGCTTTACCCACTACACCACAGTGCTGGCCCCTCAATTTCTTTCTTCTCATTCCAGTATCTTCCTAAATAGGCAACTCCTGACCACATTTGTATTGCTAGACACCTGCCGAGGTCCTCATTCACCTTCTCTTTGTCTACTAAACCATCATCATCCAAGGGCTTCTCAAATTAAAAAAAAAAATGCTAAATGAAATCACTGTTTGTCTTTCTCTTCCTCAAAAACATGCTGCTCTATCAGTATTTCTTGTTTCATCTGATAGTTTCACCCTTCTTCTTGGGGCCTAAGAACGAACTTCCAAAGATTTCCCTCACGCGATGTTGTTCCTCTTAAATATTTCTGAAGTAGGAGTTCCTCTCGCTCATCTTGCCCTGTACTAGAACACAAAGGGCATCCACCTCCCCCACGCGACTAAGGTTTCCCCGACTTCACCCTCGCCAGCCCCATAATGCTTCCTCCAGCCAACAGAGTTCCTGTTGTTTATTCTGGACGTGCTCCCTGTACGATCCTTCAGTGACTCGTCAGTACTCAGAGGATGCTCTCTGGATCACCCACCCAACCTCGGTCGTTACCAACTAAACACTCCACTTTGACTTCCCATGTAGCCGTACTAGACAGGAGGAAAGGGTTTGATTTTCCATAACTGTAGCTTTGATGCTCGTGTCCTTTCAGCCTGGATATCTCCTCACTTGTCGCTCCCCCTCTTCGTGGAGGAACGACACTAAACCCTGCCTAGGCTTCCTATCCGAGTCACGGCACCATTATGTCACTCCCCCTCTTCGTGGAGGAACGACACAGGACCCTGCGCTGTTCTTTTGTCTGCTCGGCCCTCCCCGGGTTTGCTGCTGGTTCTTCCCGGGTTGGCTACCGACCCTTCCACCTCCGTGGAAGGGCAGTTCCCCCTGCCACTTTCCCCACTTCCGCGGGGGAGCGGCACACCGCCGGCCAGCTCTCTCGGGGGCTGCACAGGTGTTCCTTCAGATAGATGTTCCCCTTAGATGTTCCTGGTGCATGTTGTCTCTCTCCTCCTTTATAGTCCTCTTCTGCCAATCCCAACTCTGCTACCCACACGCCGAGTACGCTGCTCTCCTCCAATCAGGAGCAGGTCCTGCTGTTTATTGGTTGAACTGGAGGCAGCTGTGTAGAAGCTGTTACTCCCTTCTCAGTGCCATATTGTGGGAGAGCAGATGCATAGAATAAGTCTTAATTCGAGTAACAGTCTAGTCCGAGTTGCTCCCCACACTCACTCTTCTATTCAACTTGGACATTTCTACTTGACCTATAAATCTCAGCCATTCTGTGGCATCTCTCTGGAGGCGCCAAGATGCAGGTTTTCACATGTTGCCTGGACGACACATTAATCTCAACTTAAGCCTCTTGTTTGTTTTCTCACTCACTCCTGGTCATCTGCCTCCATGCCTACACCTTAGACACCATCTCCAATCCCAAAAAGCACCTCCATAAATAGCTGGCATCCAATACTCAATAAGCAAATAGAAAGATCAGTGCTGTTAACGGAAGACAATTCGAAGGAATTCAGTGTGTTTGTAAATTACAACTGGGCATGAATAAGGAAGCTAAGAATTCATTTTGCTTAGGCAAGTCACGCATATCATGAGAAAACCATTCACAATGGGAAATTTTCTTTTTTGGGGGCAACTGAAATGCACCCATCTTATGAAAGGTAAAGTTAAACCAATCCAAAGCTCTCTAAGGAGGTTATTATCACACACCATTATTAGAGAAAACTGGATTAATCATAAATTTCATTTCAACTATTAAAAACAGTCTCAAAGAATTTGAATCTAGGGCAGTCACATTTAAGAGGAAAACCTCAAATACACCATCTAGACTATCTTGGAAATGACTCATTTACACTGGATTTTTCTCCAGAAATTATACCTGATAAAATGAAAATCCCTACAGTAGCAGCACATTTAATGGCAACCCCCGGCCCTTTTATAAGTCCCCACGCTTTAAATGATAGAACTAAGTACAAAAAATGCTTAAATTAAAAATTAATATGAATTTATGGTTCAATATTTCACACCCAATCTTGAAAACACTGAAGTTTAGAAATGATAGAGATACATCTTAAGCAAGAAACAAAAAAAAAAGTCTAAAAAAATGCATGAGATGATTTAGTCTCTAGGGAAAAGAGCAAAAGTATGAAAACAATACAGGTAATTTTTAAACAAGTGAAACGTGGTTTCTACCAAGTTTAAAACAAGAATTCCACTCCTATGAGATGTGCAATGGTGAACGGCATAACTATAATTCAATGCTATCTACGCAGACTTAAACCACACACACCCTGGAAAGTCTCTCACCTGGCTGGATGTTTTCTCTTATGATGGTTACATGGTTATCTCGATCTGGCCGCGTGTGCTCGTGCCAAAAGCCTATCACATGACCCAACTCGTGAACAACAATTCCAAATTTATCACAGTTCTTGCCAATGGAGATTGCCTGAGGTCCATTTCCCCTTCGCCCCACATAGGAACAGCACCTGGAACGCAGCAGAAGGTGGGGATGGAGGAGAGAGTGATGTTGGATGGGGTCCAGTGTGGGGAGACTTTATGAGTAATTGTGGTGAGCTATGAAGTCTGACTTGCCCAGACTTTCATTAATAACTAGGGCTAAATTCTGGCATCCTTTTACATTTACGGACAATTAAAGTTTCCAAACAACCAATCCAAGTGCTTTTTGATTATATATTATAGAATATGCTGTGAATTATTTTCATAAGTGTTCAGCAAAGAAGCAGAAGTCATGACAAAGGTGATGATTAGTGCACTCACACATAGACTAGGCCCCTTGTGTCCTTTGGCTTCAAATCCATCAGTTCAACCCACCAGGAATGGGAAAATAATTTTTTTGATTAATGTTGCTTTTTGTAATTGCATCTGCATTGACTATGTACACACTTTTTTCTTATCATTCATTTCCTACACAATGTAGACCAACAGGGGCCGGCACTATGATTTAGCGAGTAAAAAGTCCCAATTGCTCCACTTCCCGTCCAGCTTCCTGCTAATGCACCTGGGAAATCAGATGCCCCAAATGCTCGGGACCCTGCAGCCACATGGGAGACCTGGAAGAAGCTCTTGGCTCCTCAATTTGGCCTGGCCCAGCCCAGGTTGTTGTGGCCAATTAGGGAGTGAACCAGCAGATGGAAGACCTCTCTCCCTGTCTTTCTCTGAAACTCTGCTTTTCAAATAAATAAAATAGTTCTTTAAAACTATAGCTCATCAATATAACTCTCTGTCCTCTTAGATAGCAATAGAAAGCACTAAATGATTTGTCTTGAATGGCAGGAATCACAGTACAGCAGACATTCCAAACATCTATTTTTCTGATTTATTAAATTAAAAGGAAAAAAATCTCAAAAAACAATTGCTCAAATCATAAAGAGAATTTCAATATTTCAACTTGCAGAGTAGTACATGTGACTCTTCTTTTGATTTTTCCACAAATATAAATTCTATGATTCCACCTCTACTGCCCACCCCTCTTTTTTCCCCAAATAGTTTCTTTAGGCTTTAATATACTCAATATGCATTTTAATCCACACAGTGCTAGTTAGAGACCTAATCTATACTCATTACTTATAAACTATACTCGTACTTATAAGTCTATTGTAGTAGTTAAATTAAGCTTAGTAAGTCAGTAATGGCAAGCAAAGAGAGGTAACTAGGAATTGGTAATCAATGAATTGTGGTTTTCTCTGGTAGTATTTTATATTGACACGTATTATATATCCATAAACCATTAGGTGCAAAAAATTAAGACTTTCCAAAGCTTGTAGAGATTTAAACTGAAATATTTGCTATCTTACAGGAACAGTAATGAAACTAAAATATATGATGATTATAGAGCAACTAAATTACCCACACTGAGTCATTCTGACTGGAGTTACATTCAAAGAAGAAAGTACTTTTGAAATAAAAATCTGGGAGACAGTAAGGCAATGTGGTCAATTTACTTAATCTAAAACACCCTTTTTTAGCATAATTGCACCTATAGCAATTCCCTATAAATAAGATGAGGTTTCACAATGGAAAGGAAATATAGATTTCACACTGCTTTATTCATAGAGCTATTATTTTACAGTCATCCTGCACACAAAGAAAATGATGGTGCTTTGACCCTTAACTAACTAAATATCCTGGGAACACAATTCTAGATGTTCAGATAAAAGAATAAGTGGAAGTATGCTTACACAAACATTAGGCACAGAATGACAGGTTTGATGTCATTTTCTTGTATTTGACACTCAAATTTTTGTTCCTAATTTGTGCACCACTTTAAAGGTTGGCCTTTTTTTAGGCCTACATGCCCTTTCAAGAAAAGCTTTCAACATCAATAAAAGTCTTGCCACTCCTTAAATTATGCAGGGTAAACCAGTAATCTAAAGTCTGCCATTCCCTACTTTCACCTAGAGTTGTTAGACCAACCTATCTTTGGAAACTTCCTCTAAGTAAACTCATCAAGACATCCAGTGAGTTGAAATTTTTTATGCCTTTTTACCTGCTGTACTTTAAGCCCTTCCAAGTATCAAGTCACTATATGCCTTTTTATGAAAATTACTCATTTATTTTGTTAGTGTTCTAAGACAGCCTCCTTAAAAGGGACTACAATATCTGATACATGAAGACAGGGAGCTTTCTCTCTGACTCACAGATTTGTCACAAGCACCTAAACCAGGGCCTATCCCTGGGCAGGCAACATTTGTTGAACAGCAGGCTCAGATTTCCACCTACTTTTCTTCGTGAACAAAAAATACTTCAATTTATTTTGTCCCTAATTTTCTTCTCCCAAATCTTCCTCCACCTACTGACTTCCCCATCCAAGTTACTGGAAACTCCAACTTTGCTCCAGTATTCCCAAAGCCTCCATCTCTCTCACAATAATAAATCTTGTTGTCTCTACCTTCAGTCTGTACCTGGAATTGATCCACTTATCATCATCTCCTAACAGCCTAGGCAAGGCCATCATCTTTCACCTGAGTTGCTGGAATAATCTGCCAGCTGGTCTCTTCCTTTCTGGTCTTCTCTTGCTACAGCAGTCTTGTCTTAGCACTGAAATCATTTAAAACACCACGTCAGATTGTGTCATTTCTGCACCCCATATTCTCCAATGGCCCTGTGGTAAATGGTGTCGATGTTCAAAAATAGCCATTGCTCCTCTCTAGACAATGATCATATTTCCCTGCCCACTAATTCCAGGTTTCATCACATGGCGTGCTCTGGACAACACTACAGTAGCACAGAGTGTTTGTGTCATTTCTGGAGAGAGTCTTCCAAAGCCAACACGTCGTTGGCCATAGTGCCCCTGTTCCATCTGCCATAGGAACTGCTATGTCGTAGCATAGGATTCTCCCTGGGACTTTATATAAGAGGGACGCTTGTGGGGCAGAGCTAAGTGGTGTATGTGCACTGTAAGGAATGCATGCTTGTCATAAAGTCACTGAGATGGAACGATCACTTGTTACCATTCTGTAACTTCACTAAGCTGCCTGAGGTAGGCTCTCTAAAACTTCTTCCCCAAAACTGTAAGAGCCCAGTGGTCCTTAACAAATATATTTCACCACACATAGCACTTCTGGTACGACTGTGCCTGTCATTATCCCTCCTCTAGTCATGCTTGTTCTCTGCTCTGCTTTCAACCTACTGGCAAGCTCTTCACATTTTTTTCCTCTCTGTCTCCTCCATCAGGAATTCTACCCTCCTCGTACGCGTGGTCTCTTTTCCCTATCTTTTTCAAGTCTGCATAAATGCCATCTCCACTCTGCTTACTTGGCTTTCTATTTACATATGGTAAATGATACATAATTATTTCACTCATTTTGGTTTGTCTTTGCTGCTTTCCCTCCATGGAATGTAAACTCTCTGTGGGCACAGGTCTCAGATGCCTTGTTCACTGCGATGGCTCCAGACCCTAGAGTACAACCTGCTGTACAGCAGCGTTCAGCTGCTACACGTGGGAAGAGCAGATCTCAAAAGAGCAGGAGAGGAAGACGACTTCTCTGTAGGCAGAGCTTCCAGGGCAGCAGTGGCGACCCAGGTGCACACTCTTGGAGACAAATGAAAAATCTCATGTACTTTCATATATAAATACACCCATATGTATGTATGCATGTATACGCAAAGACATATACATGCATATAAACAGTTCTAATACAATTTAAGAATATGAATTGCACTGGGGAAAAATGGTCAAAAGTTCTGACCTATGTTTAATGTTTTACTTACTATAGTGTGTTGTTTCCCTCCTACCATATTTTCCTGATATGGAAAATACAGCAATAACATTAACCGGATAAAAGTCAACAATAGCAGAATAAAGTGGGAAATACAATGCTCTAAAAGACACATGTGGTTCCATTTTTAATTGTCCTCCCCATAAACATGGAGTTTAGCTTAGTTTTTAAAAAATAAACAGAAGATACAAGTTTCTTAATGTAGCCAATTAAGTCAAAGTGATACAGTGATATTAAATGGTAAGATGTATTTCCTATTAGATTTTAAAATAGAAATAGATTTGATGAACGTTGCTATCAATATCTGTGGCACCATGCTGCAGGCTTCCATGTCGAATACAGAGGTGCAATAAATCTTGTTAAGTGCTACACATTACTGCCACAGCTCTTATGAATTAAAATACCCCATATTGAAATCCATCAGGAATGTTAGGCATATGACTTGACACATATCTTACTCTAGTTAGCCCTAAGTATTCTGTACAACACCAACTGCTGAACCCCTTAATAATTTAAATGATAACTTTATGAGATTTAGGTGCAGCATTCTCACAGCAAAAATGATGAAATAACTGTTTTATGAAACTGTGGTCGATAAATGATTCCAATGAAATTATTCGAATTTTTGGCAGGCTAAAGAGCACTTCTTACATAAAGCATCTCCCTTTCTATAACTAACAAAGTCATACAGGTCAAACTGGGAACTGCAAAATGAATGCTAAACACATCACCCAAATGTGACACTGCTACTCTAAAAATTATAAATATATGAATATGTCAAAATTCAAAAATATGACTTCAATAGTGCAATAAAAGCTTTACGAATCACTGGACAAATCACAACTTCAGTGAGTACAGGTACTTAAATATCCCTTTAAATTCTTACAGTATTTCATGTGTGGGAAGATCATATACAAGGAACATAGATGATTCTGATATTGTCAGCATTTTCTCAATGTGCCCACCTGTACAGTGGAGTATGGGTATCATGAGGGCCACAAAAGTAAGTCACCCACCTTCACCAATGACAAAGACAGGCATTTGAACAAGCTGTAGTGATACAACTGATGTGATACGGGTAGAGCAAAATCCCAAAGTGAGCCACTCAGAAAAGCTGAGAATGAAAGCTGGGAATGATTTCCACTGATTAAAAAGGAAAGTGTAGGTGTTCCAAGAGCAAAAGCATTATGAGGAAAAGCACTAAGACGTGACAGTGAACTGGGATAAAACAAGTGTTGAGGGGTCGG